CCCTGTCCTGACATGAAACCGTTTTTTTCAGTTACCTCTAGAATGTCAAACCCCATGGACTCTTTCATTCCTCATCTTACTTCACCTCTGAGTTGTGATGGATGACATTGATTGCTCTTTTTTTCCTGGCTTTTGTGATATCAGCCTCTCTTTATGTTCCTCCTTTTATGGTGCCATCTTTTCATTCTCCCATATAAGCAACAGTTTCACTCTTTGGATGTGAAAAATTGGTCATCCCAAGACTCCGTTTCTTCATCTCTTCTCTCCAGTCTCCCTACTGATCTCATCTGTGTCCATGACGTCTACTACCATGTATGGACCTTACCTCTAAACTCAATCTCTTTCCTGAGCTCTGGGTAATTGTAAATCTCCCTCAGATATGCCCAACCCTGCAAAACCCACTCTTCCTCCCTGTATTAGATTTCTCATTGTTAGAACGTGGGAAATTAATCATCTGTATCAGGTAGAGAGAAGGGAGAGAGAGCAGCAGCAGCAGTGAGTATTGTTGTTTCCAAAGCAAGAGATGCCTAGAAAGGCAGAAAATAGGTTTCGTGCAGATTTCAGAGAAAAGACAGGTCACTGGAATACGTTTAAGGGTCCTAGTGGCTGTATTAATATCCATGCTCAGTAATTAAGACAGTGGTATATTGGTGTAAGGATAGACAAACAGACCAGAGGAACAGAATAGGGAGACCTAATTTATAGCAAATGTGTGATTGCAGCTCAATAGGGGAAGAGGATGATCTTTTTCAGCAAATAGTGCTGTATTAGTTGGATATCCAGATGGAAAACAATGGACTTTGAAATCTACCTCACACCATACATAAATTAATTCAAGTTCGATAATAGAGCTAAACATGAAAGGTAAAACTGTAAACCTCCCAGAGTAAACATACATGAACACCTTTATGATCTTACATTTCTTAAAAAAGACATGAAAAGCACCAGCCATAGAATTAAAAAAAATTAACAACGCATATTCACCAAAAGCTACCAGTAAGAGAGTGAAAAGGAAATCCACATACTTGGAGAAGATATTTGCAATACAAATATCTAACCAAGGACTCAAACTCAGAATGTATAAAGAACTCTTAAAAGTAATATGTAAGGGACAAACACCTCCACTTGAAAATGATCAAAGGACTTGAATTGGCCCATCACAAAAGAAGTTTTACAAATGGCCCATAAACATGTGAAAATTTCCTGTCTTAATTCTCTTTGGCTGGTTTTTTGTTTTGTTTTGTTTTTTGTTTGTTTTTTTTTCTGGAAATGGAGTCTTGCTCTGTCGCCTAGGCTGGAGTGCAACGGCATGATCTCGGCTCACTGCAACCTCCACCTCCTGGGTTCAAGCAATTCTCCTGTCTCAGCCTCCCGAGTAGCTGGGATTACAGGCACATACTGCCATGCCCGGCTAATTTTTTGTATTTCAGTAAAGATGGGGTTTCACCGTGTTGCCCAGGCTGGTCTCAAACTCCTGAACTCAGGCAATCCAGCCGCCTGGCCTCCCAAAGTGCTGGGATTGCAGGCATGAGCCACCGTGCCCGGTCATCTCTTTGGCTGTTATAACAAAATCACCACAACTAGGTGACTTATAAACAACAGAAACATTTGTTGCAGTTCTGGAGGCTGAGAAGTCCAAGATTAAGGTGCTGGTGGATTTGGTAGCTGGTAAAGGCCAGCTTCCTCAGACCTGGTCATCTTTTCACTGTGTCTTCACGTGGTGGAAATGGTGAAGGGCATTTCTTAGGCCTCTTTTATAAGGTCACTAATCCTATTCATAAGGCTCTGTCTCCATGGCCTAATCATCTCCCCAAAACCTCACCTTCTAATACCATCACCTTGGGGGTTATGATTTCAGCATATGAACTTGGGGTGGACACAAACATTCAGACCACAGCAATTCCTCAACGTTATTACATATCAGGGAAATTCAAGCTAACACTATAACTAGATACTGCCACACAACTTCCTGAGTGGATACAATTAAAAAGACCGACAGTTCAAGTGCCGACAAGGATGTGGAGCAATTGGAGCTCTCAGACACGGCAGCTGGGAGTGTAAATGGGCACTGCCACTTTAACACACTGTTTGGAAGTACTGTGCAAGCTGAACACATTTACTCTGTGACCTAGCAGTTATACTCCTGGAGGTATACACAAGAAAAATGACTCTTAAGCCCACTGAAAGATAGATATGAGAAGTTTATGGCAGCATTCTTTATAGTAGTACTGGAAAGAATCCAAATGTCTATCAATAGTAGGATAAATAGATAAATTATGCTGTATTCACTCAATGGAATACTACACAGAATTATAAAAGAACAAATTATTGTTGTTTGAAGTAATGTGGATAAATCTGACAGACATAAGGATGAGATAAAGAAGCCAGACACAAAGATAATAAATTGTATTATTCCTTTATATAATGTCTAAAAATAGGCAGAATTAATCTATGGTGACAGAGTTCTGAACAATAGTTACCTCTGGGGAGTCTGATGGGAGGAGGCATGAGGAAGCCGTCTGAAGTGCTGGAAATATTCTGTAGGGTGATCTGGGTAGTAGTTAAAGCGGTGTATAAATCCATTAAAATTGATTGAGTTGACACTTAAAATCTGTGTACTTTACTTAGTCTGTAAGTTATATTTCAATTACAAAATAAAATAAAAATAAATATTCAATTCTTTAGAATGAATGTTGATGATAAAAACGAAGCCAAGGGAGTGTCAAAAGCTATTGATATTTCTCCTTGAGTAGTTTTAATTGGAGTAGGATGGGGTGTATATAGAGAGGAATGAGAATGAAAGTGGTTTTAAATAAGAAAGTTCATTAAAACAAAACTATGTTGGATGAATTGGGCTTCATGGTCACCATGCCTGGTATCAGTGCCTGGTATTAGTGAATGGCAGGGGTCCAGGGTCAAGGGAAAGGCTGGCAGATACTGAAGACCTAATGAGTGACAGTAACTGGCAAGCACAGCTTTGATATGAAATGCCAGTCCTCTCATCAGGCAGACAAGCTGCTAGCAGGATGCCAGCAGGTCTGTGAGTCTGGGAGCACTGTGCCCCTGGTCTAAGGGGAGTGGTCAGGGCTGCACAGTCAGCACACCTGGAAGTGATAAGGATGAGCAGGGACCAAAGACAAGAGGCTGGATCCCTGTGGTACCCTCATGGTCCTTCTTTTGGGTCTCCGAGAACTTCCATGGACAGAGAATAGTTCTGGAGGTCCAGTTTGCATTCAGCACTGGGAATAAATAGATCAATTCCGTGGTCTGAGAGGGTGAACCTGGGCCTTGGGTCAATAGTTGCTTTTGGTGACACCTGTCTTCCAAGACGTGTAACAAATGAAAATGGACACACTTTGAGTGCTAATAAAATGTGCCTCCCTGTCATTGGCAAAAGATAAGTAAATATGGTTCTTCAAATGCTTTTAGCTCTAAAACACAATCCTAAAAACTCATAGTATGCCAACTCCTTAGAACCCCATATGAAAATAAACTTTTATTTTAAAAGTAAATTATGAATTTACGCTGAATAATGCAGAGGATTGCTTATAATCTGAAATAAATTATTAAAGAACTAAGAGTGGGGAGAACATGGGACTGGGATTTAAGAAATTATTTTATTGTGCCAGAGCCTCATTTCTGACTTCTAAAGTTCTAATATTTATCATCACTTGAAGATTCTCTGAAGATAAATATTCTACAAGACAGAAAAGCAAAAGCATATGACAGGGTTTAAAGCAATGCTTTTGGGGACAAGCATGGGCTTGACTCATAAACACTGGTAGAATTTCTTGAAAATCATTTTATTTCTGTAAAAAAATAAAATTATTCTCAAATGCTCCCTTGGTAACCTATAAAAATCCTCCTTGCTGTTCTGGTTTGGGGTCAAAACCACAAAAAGGAAATGTTTTAAATCTCTCTCTGTTCTGAAGCCTATATCATGATGTCATAAAAGTTGCCTGCACAATTCCCTAATTCTTCATGTTCTCACATGGAATCAGCCCCGGGAGACAGAATAAACCTTTCCTACAAATAGAAAGGTTCTCAAGGGGATGGGTAGGTCACTACATTTCTGCTGCCTTGACATTAGAATAGAAGTGAGAAGCTACTAGCTTCAACTATGTCCATTTCCATTTAATTGCATGTCAAATGTTTGGCCAAGAAAAAGGTCCAGTTCATTTAAGAATTAGCAGCAACTGTATAATAAATTACAGGATATAAAGAAGCAGAAAGTGGGGAACACAGTAAAATAGAATTGATGTACCTTAGCTATTTTGTCAAGATGGCTTCAAAAGGGAGAAGAGGAAGCATGAAAAGTGGATCTGATTAGCAAAAATACGCTGGAAAGAGACCATGATGAGAGATGCCCACTGTGTTCTTTATTTTTTCCTGCCAGCAGAAATGAAGTAAATGGATCATGTAAGAGAAGTAAATGTAAGACCTTTTCGACACAGAAGACAGCTCTAATGCGAGGCCAGGGCTCCAGCTGATCCTGTCTCTGGTTCAGTTGAGCTCCAGTGTTAGCTTTAGTTTTGCTGAGGTGGTTGCCTAGTTCTAAACAGACAGCAGAATCTGCTTTCACGTAAAAATTCAGAGGGTCAGATAAGGTTTTGAGCACCCTTTAAAGTACCCAGAAGAAGGTGTAGGAGCTGCCTAACGCATCTGAAGCTATCAAGTCTTAAAACAACCCCTGCCGACTACTTGTGATGGTTAGTTTTATGTGTCAACTTGACTGGGTCACAGGGTGCCCAGATTAAACATGATTTCTGGGTGTGTGTGGGTGTTTCCTTATGAGGTTAGCATTTGAACTGGTAGACTCAGTAAAGTAGATTGCTGTCCCCAGTGTGGATGGGCATCATCCAATCTGTTGAGGGCCTGAATAGAGCAAAAAGTGGAGGAAGGGAGGATTAATTCCCTTCCTGCCTGCCAGTGTGAGCTGAGACTTTAGTCTTCTCCCACCCTTGGTCTGGGATTTATACCATTGTCTCCCTTGTTCCCAGATCTTTAGAACTGGACTGGAATTGTACTTTCCTGGATCTCCAGCTTGCAGATGGCAGATTGTGGAACTTCTCGGCCTGCACAATCGTGTGAGTCAATTCTTCATAACCTGTCTCTCTCTTTTTGTCTTCCTGCTGCCCCCCACAACCCCTCTCTTCTATGAGTCTGCCAAATACACCACTGTATCTGGAATCCAACTTCTATAGGTGGGCTGAAATATTTAAATTCCAAATAGTATTATTTCTCCTCATGAAAAAAAGGACTTTGATGAGTTTTTTTTAATTACACTTCTGGATTTTATCTTAGGCTTCAGCCAATAACACCATTGCATTTAGCAGGAGGACACCATGTCTAGCAACCATTTTGAACTGCAGTGAAGGATATTGTGATTAAGCTTCTGCTTATTTCCTGGAAGTTCATAATTTAAGGCTACAGAGATATTTTTGAATCTTAATTCTATAATCCATTTACCACATAGCCCTCCTAGTTTTATGTCATCCAAAAATGTGGTAATTATTCTCACTCTTGCTTCATAGGAATCATTTGATAAAGAATTAATACCAGACACAGTTGAAGATCCTTACAGCAGGATCCAGGGAGGCCTTCCTTCATGGGAGAATGGATCCATCTCAGGGATAATTTCACACAAATTAATATTCAGCCTTAATTTCTCCATATTTATTACAAAAATATTTTTCAGACTTCTTGAAGAAAACAAAGTGCATCGGGTTTATTTTATTTCCTTGATAAGAAATATGATGACCTATCAAAATGGAATTGGTTGTTGAACTTTGCTTAGTTTTGTTGTTCTTGGTGAGCCACTAGTGACCACTGCCTTGATAATTCTCACTGGGGATCATCATCAGTCTTTGTTTTTTTCCCCTGGAGAATGGTGACCATTCAATCCCTTAGCCTTTTGGGTATTGTTTTCTGGCTATTGTTTTCTGGCTATTGTTTTCTGAGTACCAGCTGCATACTAGACATTTGACACACCTTATCTCTTATGTTTCCATCAACTCCAAAAGGAAAATACTAAGTGTCCTTCTACTTCTATCCCTGTCCTTTCACCCAGCTCTCCATACTAAGAAACTGGGGCTCTGAGTGGTTCAGTGGCTTTCCGCAAACCACACAATTGACCAGTGGCCATACCATGGTTTGAACTGAGGACCATCAGGTACCAAATGCCACAGGGCCTTCTGTTTTCTGTGCTTACCCAATCTTAAGGACAGCTTCTGCAAGTCTCTTCAGGGACTTTGGGTGTGATTCATTGGCTTCTGGACATCTGAACTTATATGATAGGGTCAGTGCTATCTGAGCATGTCTTTCTCTGTTTGTGACTTTGGGGCATTCTTGACCATTAAGCACATGCTCTGGGGCAGACCAGGCCTGCTTATGCATGCTGCTTCTGTGGGAGGTGCTGTCCTCGGGACCAGTGTCCACAGAGGCTGGGCCTAAGACTGCAGCAGTGGCAGAGGGAAGACTGTGTTCCCACAGGAGCCTGCCAAGCCCTACGCAGTTAGTGTTGTGGGCTCCAGGGACCTGCCCATCTTTCAATCACCTGGTTCTCCTTGGTAGATTCTTCTTTCGTCTTCCATGGGGATGGGGGCGCTCATAGCCAACACAGCTTAGTTATAGGTTCAGGAAGGCTTCTCCTTTAACTGAGTCAGTGACTGAAATTACTCACAGCTCTCATCTAAGTAGTTGAAACCTAGTTTCAAATTTCTTAGCTGTTTCCAAAGCCACGGCATATTTTACTGCTGGGAGGACAGATGCCTGCTCAAGTGTCTGATGAAGACACTTAAGCTTTATTGTTATTTGACATTCATTAGGGAACCATCTTCCGTAGGCAAAACACAAGACATTTTTTAGACAGAAGCCATAAAAGGACTAATGATGGGTCATAGGCCAGTTGGTATGAAAACAAGATGAAATGAGCCCTCGAGCCATGCCAGCTTGGTCCTGCACTGCTTCTGAGAACTGTGAAGGATACGGAGAAGAAAGAAACAGAGATGATTCCAGTGTAGCAGCAAGGATAGTGAGGATGCCGTTGCACAAACGTGGAGCCACATGCATTGTGCAGAGAGCAACCATATCATCCGATGACCTTTTCTAGCTGAGGCACTGAAGAAATGCCTACTGAATTAATGATCAAGTTCCCTCCAGAAGAAAAGAACTGATGTTTACTGGACACCAATTATATGTCAGCATACCCCTTGGGTTCTCACAGTAACTTGAAGAAGAATGTTGCTTGTTCCAGCCTCACAAAGCAGGAAGATAAGACTGTTAAGAAATGAACCTTACTAAGGACACACGACTCATCAATGGTGCTGCCAGGATTTGACCCCAGGAGTGTTTAGGTCTCAAGTCCACAATTATTTTCCTTCACCTCTAGAATCCTGAGTCCAGGTACTCATTTTACTTCCAAAAAAGAAGTGGTGCATGAAAAGAACATGGAGGGGGGAAAAATCTAGAACTCATGACTATAGAATAGGAAAATAGAACCCAAATTTCCTCTCCCTTTGCTATCGGAATCTAGAGTCTCTTCCTGTTTCCTAACTGACTGTTGGGGTGTTGATGGACATGGGAGAACATGAGAAGGCAGAGAGAGGAAAAATGTGCCTGTGAGCTTTGGTACTAAGTGGGAGGTGAGCAGTTTCCACTTAGATGAAGGCAAGAAGAAATGAGGTTGATTTGCCACAGGATGTTTTTAAATTAAATGTATGGATAGAGGACTTTACAATGAGGATTCCTTTCCGATTAAATGTCTCTGGTTCCTTTAATCACATCTCCTTGGAAAGTTTCTCTTGCTACTTCAAATGAGGTCATAGAATTTTGCAATAGCAAGAGGAAAATACCTATCTATCAGGCTAAGATAACATTGGGAAAATTCACCTAGCTTGTCTGTAAGATGTCTTCAGGCATGCTCACGCAGAGGTGCTAATATTTTGTGCACCAACCCAGCTATTTTCTAGCTATCTCTGCTTAGTTGCTGCTGCCTACTTATTCTTTTAACCTGGACTCTCCCCTCACCCTCCCCAGCCCCTGTCCCTTCATTCCAAGTTTACTATATGCACTTAGATGAAAGGAATCTCCCTCATGTTCAGAATTTCACAGTTGCTGGGACCATGTGACTTTTATTGGAAAGAAGTAAAGGAAAACACCCTCCCTGGTATCCTTTCAGAGAGAAAGCTGCTGCATTCTTTTTCAGACTCATTAAACTCCATCTGGTGGTTATGTCTTGAGGACATACTGTAGAAGGGTTTCACCTCGATGCTGGTGAAGGTTTCCTCTGTTTTGGGGGCACAAACTTCTCATTATAAAATGTAGGAATTACCTGTTGCTCTCTGTCCATAAAGCCATGTTGTCAAATTAAGGAAATAAGCAAAGCAGATGTGAGTGAACCCACAACCTCAGCATGGTTTCATTTTAATGCTAACTGTCCTCTTTGGAGCAAGAGTAATTAGAAATCAGCAGCAAGTTAGTAGAAAAAAATTACTGAGCTTCATAATTCCTTGGGGGAGAGAGGGAATCCAGGATCCATTTACTGAAGGTTTCATTAAATTCTCCATTAGGAGAGTCAAGTTATAGCCATCAGAACCAGGAAAGAAGGAGAAGGGGGTGGTTTTGAAGGAAGTCAAGGATGGCGCCTGTGGTCACCTTCACTTTGCCCTAGGAAGTCCTGGGCTTTGTATTTTCCTTGCATTCTGCTAACAGTCACATACTTGTTGTGCCTGCATCCACGTCATGTGTGGCCAGGGACAGAGGGAAAGCTTCCACGTAGGCTCTCATCTCTTCTATCGTCTTCTGTCCACCCCTCCCCCTTCCTTTCCTCATCAGCTATCTCCCCAAAGTCTCCACTAATGGAATCTGCCCCATATTTCTTCTCTCCCTCCTCCCTGGCTGTGGCTGGGTTTATGTATGTGTTTTAGATTTGGACATCTGTAGCTGTCATTTAGTCCCCAGGGACAAAATGCCCTTCTCATATACATCCTGTTGTAGATTGAATTGTGTTCTCCCAAAAGGTGTGTTGGAGTCCTAACCCCTGTATTTCAAATGTGACCTTATTTGGAAATAGGGTCATTGCAGATGTCATGTTAAGGTGAGGTCATTCTCAATTGGTGTGCGTCCTATTCCAGTATTACTGGTATCCTTCTAAGAAAAAACAGAGAGACACAGGCACACAACGGGACACTGTCATGTGATGATGGAAGCAGAGACTGAAGTGCTGCAGCTGCAAGCCAAAGAACACCAGAGACTGCCAGATAACCCCCAGAAGGAAGAGGCAAGGAAGGTTCTCCCCTAATGACTGCAAAAGGGGCACGGCCCTGCCATCACCTTGATTTTTGGGTTCTAGTCTCCAGAACTTTGTGACAATAAATTTTTGTTGTTCTGAGACACTCAGTTTGTGATAATTTGTTGCAGCACTCTTAGGGCATTAATGTACACTCCTTCATAATAAATGCCCAGCAGAGAACTTGGCGTGGGAAGAGCTCAGTGTTAGAGTCTGTGGGGAATACAAAGACAAGCTAGGTCTTTGGGGTAAGGTAAGACTCTTACCCTTTCAGTGATGCTCAGTTTTGTAGGGAGACTGACAATCATAATACTCATCCATGGGAGATGTAAATGTACATTATAACAGAGGGATAAGTAGACAAAGTGTGGGGCACCTAGAAAGGCTTTGGGGAGAATTTAGGATTACACTTTGAGAATACATGAGCTTTATAAAAAATGTGGACAGAAAGATACCATTAATAAGTGGAAATAGCTTATTAATTCTGGGAGCAATAGAGGATGCATGGAGAATGGTAAGTGGGCTGCTCTGGTAGGTGGATAGGGTAAGTGGTGAGGACCCTGGACATACATCTAAGCAGGAAAAGTGAAAAAAGCAAGGGCAGTGAGGGCTTGGCACCCACTATCTATGCTTACATGAAGGAATCTGGGGAGCCACTAATGGCTATAACTGCCTTCAGGTTCATCTTCCCAGAGGGAAGTCCAGAGCATCCTGGGTGTGGTCCAGGTCTTTGAGGGCAAGTCAAGTAAAATGTAACAGAATGTGAGCTCAGGACCTGGGCTACTGTATCTCTGCTGC